GATCGAGTCTAGTCTCCGCGCCATCGCCGCCTCCTCAGGTACTCTTCTCCGCCCCTTCTTGCTAGCCCTGCGGTCTCGGCCTCTGTTGCTGAGCCTGCTACTTCGACTGAGGTTGTAGTAGTTGCTGCCTTCGGTCGGCAGTGTAGTCGCAAGGGTGGTAAGAAGGGTGGAGGGAGTAGAGGAGGTGGAGGTGGCGGAGTGCTGGACGTCTGGAGGCGCTGACCCTCGAGGAGGTACAGGGTCTGGTGGTGCGGCTGGAGGAGGTGTAGGTGTCGTTGTGCAACAGCAACAGCAGCAATAGTAGCAAGTTTTCAAGACACGAGCGGTTTGCGACCTGTACGGACGCTACAACTAGGGCACCTCTTGCCACGTTCCCCCGGGAGCTAGTGAAGGATGAGATGGTCGCTGGCATACGTGTGAAGAGGGAGCCTACCGAGGTACTTTTCCCGACATGCATGCAAGCCAAGTTCACCCGTTTCCCGTTCTCTAGTTCGGAGGCAACGGCTAAGGCACCGCTCGACGAGGTGGTGATGGATGTGGTGGGCCCCTTGAAGCTTGGAGCTGCTATAGCAGAGTACTTCCTCACCGTTGTGGATGCTTACACCCGAATGACATGGGTGTATGTGCTGTCCAAGAAGAGCGACATGGCTGAAACGGTGAAGACCGATTGGTTGCCGATGATGGAGCTGCAACAAGACCGGCTTGTGAAGGCAATCCGTACCGATCGAGGGGGAGAGTTCCTGAGCAAGGAGCTCTCCATGTGGCTGAAGAAGAATGGCATAAGGTACTCCCTTACCATGCCATACTCCCCTGCAATGAACGGCATCGCCGATCGAGCGAACCAGACAATCACAGAGACCGCACGCGGGTTGCTCATTGAAGCCGGGCTTCTCGATTATTTATGGCCAGATGCGGTGCGGACTGCGTGTGTGGCTAAAAATAGAGCCTTGGCTCATGTGGGAGCAGACAAATGGGTGCTCTATGTGGAGTGGACTGGAAGGAAGACAAAGATGGATATGCTTCGGGTGTTCGGGTGTAGGTGTATGGCGCTCGTGCCTAAGCATCTTCGGCACAACAAGCTTGGTGCCAAGGCGATATGGGCTGTGCATTTGGGCATGGCTCAAAACAGCAAGGGTTGGTTTCTTTGGGATCCATTCACCAAGAAATTCTTGGTGAGCAGGGACTGCAAGTTCATGGAAAATCTCATGTACAAGGATTGGAAGGCGGGAAATGGTGCGAAGATAGGCGTGCGGCTTGGGGAGGTGAAGAGTTCCGGCTTGGAGCATGTGGAGCTGCCTTTTGAGCTGAGCAGCAGCACCATCACAAGGCAATCTCCTCTTGTGAATGGGGGAGAGGAGGCCAGGAATGGAGAAGAAGAGGGGGAGGAGGTGCAGCAAGCAAGTGAGCGTGTACCGACACTTCCACCTCGAGCAACGAGTGCTCGCGTCTCACAGAGATCGAGTCTAGTCTCCGCGCCATCGCCGCCTCCTCAGGTACTCTTCTCCGCCCCTTCTTGCTAGCCCTGCGGTCTCGGCCTCTGTTGCTGAGCCTGCTACTTCGAGTGAGGCTGTAGTAGTTGCTGCCTTCGGTCGGCAGTGTAGTCGCAAGGGTGGTAAGAAGGGTGGAGGGAGTAGAGGAGGTGGAGGTGGCGGAGTGCTGGACGTCTGGAGGCGCTGACCCTCGAGGAGGTACAGGGTCTGGTGGTGCGGCTGGAGGAGGTGTAGGTGTCGTGGTGCAACAGCAACAGCAGCAATAGTAGCAAGTTTTCAAGACACGAGCGGTTTGCGACCTGTACGGACGCTACAACTAGGGCACCTCTTGCCACGTTCCCCCGCAAGCTAGCGCCAGGCCTATTCACGCTGCGCGCTGCGTCTCCTCAGGTTTCTGAGGCTGGTCAAGTAGCTGCATCGTGCTCGTGTCAGTCGCTTTTGTGGCACCACCGTCTAGGTCACCCCTCCTTCGCGCATCTCCGTCACATGGTCTAGCGCGCCTGTCATGTGCTCCATCTGCACTCTAACCAAGGTGGCGGTTTCACCTCCGGCCAGATTGAGTAGTTCTGCCTTGCATAGGGCATCCGCCAAACGTTTTCGCTACCGGATTTGCCACAGTACAATGGAGTCGATAAGCGACGCGTTGGTTTGGTCATTGAGATCGCTCGTACATCCACGTGTCATGAAGTGCCCCCATTTTCTGTGGCCGTTTGCAGTCCGCTACGCCACGTACCAGCTTAGCATGCGGCCCCGTGTCTCACGGGAAATGGGGTAGGGAGTGACGATACGAAATAGTAAGCAAACGGAGCGAGGGTGATAGGGAGCGTAAGAGCAAGGGGGGCATGTGACGGGCAAGGAGAGATAGAGGGACGGGAGAGAAGGGGCAACAGGAGCACCGTGCGGAAGCGAGGCAGCGATGAAGAAAGTGACGCGAGCGAGGGAGGAACGCAACGGAAGGAGTTATGGGAGCGAGGGAGGCGCGAAACGAAAGGAAAGGACGGACGATGAGAGACGGAGGAACTCGACGAAGGGAGCGATGTGAGCGAGGGAGGCGCGAGACAAAGGGATGGACGGGCATGGAGAGAGGAAACGACACGAGCGGTTGAAATATGGAACGAGGAATCGAGGAGTGAAGCGCGGAAGGGAGAGAGCGAGGAGGGAAGGAGCTAGGTGCGGAGAATCACTCTACAACGGTCGACTACGGGGGGTTGGCACGAGTTATAGGAATGATCGTAGCTTTGCCTGCGTTTCTTAGCACCTGCCCATTCACGGGAGAAATTGGCAAGAGTTTCCACTAGCAGAGTTGGATTACTGGATGATTGAAATCACAATGGTAAGAATGGCTACATCAGAGCCTAGCAACCTAGCAGCCAGGCAGGTCGACCGCCTGCCAGCGATGCGTAGAGGAGCCGCGCCAGCGCTGCATATAGGCGGCCTGCCAACAGAGCAGGTCGACGGCGTGCCAACGTTGCAGCAAAATGGCCGTCCAGCGTTGCACCCGTGGATGACAGCAGCGCGCTCGCTCGCAGGTGCGCGCAGATGATTGGTCCGACATGCACCGTCACCCATCTGTAGGCTGTTGTATGCGCCTGACGAGCCACATCAACTTCGGGATACCAGCCCGAAGTCGCCTTCGCCATCGCGGCCTCGACGGCGTTCTCGTGCCTCCGCGAACCGCGCCGAGGTAACTTGGTCGACCGGGTCGACCACCTGGTGCCCTGGTCGACGACCTCCCTCGTTGACCACCACCCTTGTCGAGGACCAACTTGGTCGACGGTCCCCTCCATCGACCATCTCGGTCTACTGCTGCCGTCGAGCTCACACTGTCGACGGCTCCTCGACAGACCCGCGTAGGTCGACGACCACCTTCATCGACCTCCCCGTCAAAATCGACCGCCGGCTCCCGTCGACGGCGGCATTGCAGCGGTCGCCTGCCGGTCGACAACCCCGTCGACCAGCACGTGTCGAACCCTGCAGAACAGTCGGCCGCACCACCCACGCGCCCGACCATGAAGTCAGCATCGCCCAAGCAAGGGCGGGGCCAACAACCCACTCCCGTCAACACTAGGGAGACCGATATGAGGGAGGGGAACGTAGCAGGCACTATTATGCCATGGGAGATGCTGCCAGATGAGGAATGGCAGCAGCTGTGTTGAAAGGACACCCCCACTGCCAGAAGGAGCAGCCGTGATTTTCGAAACCACGTACCACCGATGTGGTGTCCGCGTGGCGTTCTTGGTAAACATTGGATGGCGAGGCTTGTGCTTTGTCACGATTGCGTTGTTGTTTGACCACAAACCGCCACAATGTAATTAGCACAACTAATAAGAAACTCGGAATGATCAATGTTGATGAACCTGGACTCGATACAGTGACTGTAATATAGTCCACAGTTCCCCATAAGAATTGCAAAACTTCTTGTAAAGTGTACTTCGATACCAAAGTGGGTGCTTCTAAGGTGGATAGGCTGCCACACTGATTCATTCAGTCACAATTGCGTTTTACGTTACTGCGCACTCTCCATAACGAATTCGCAGTGCGCAGCCGTCTCGCAGCACGGCATTGGCACACAGACCTCCAGACCAGACTTACAACTTATCAGTACGCAGCGGGTTTTCTCAAAACCTAGGGTCATTTTAGGGGCCGGCTCTAGGGGTCACCTCGAAAGTGTCATTTCAGGGAGCGGAGTCCGCTCCCTTCTCGTGAAAAGTTTCAGATCCAAACTGTTTCCGAATCGTTCGATCCAGTCACCACAGCGCTTCACACATTCGAAACTCGCGTGAGGACTGAAAGCACGACAAACCGCTCACGAATCCCAAACGCGAGCTGCTGTTTGATGATGATGCGACGCGATGCCGTCTTTTCTGAACCCCCCCGCTTTCCTTCCTTCCTTCCTTCCCCCATCACACTCGCTCTACGATGGGTTGCTCGTCCGCACCGCAAACGAGCACTTTTGTAGCCCTGGCAGGGCTTCGCAAAGTAGAGGATATTATGAGAATTTTGCTCCTTGTGCCTGCTGCCTTACGTCGTTCGGATAGTGGATTGTACCTAATCTGTTCGCAATCCCTTTGCATTTTTTCGACGTGTTTTTCCGTTCTTCAAGGAAGTTCTACGTTTAATTCCGGCGTAAGATAGTAGTAGGCGTTACTACAAAGTCGGAATCTGTGAGGGTGGATGTTTGAGCGGCGAGAGTGCAAGCAGTGACAGCGCGAGGGCGGTAGCGCCAATAGAGCGACATAAGTGAGCGAGCGGCGACAACAGTGAGCGACACCTGCGAGCGAGTGAGAGAACGCACCCGTTCCGTGAGTGTGAGAGATTCTCGATCGATAGCTGGCAGCTACAATGGCGACGGTTGAACATACAGAAACACTGTCGCACAGCCAGTCGCAGGAAACGTCGCATGATGAATCGCAGGGTCTGTCGCGAGGTTTGTCGCAGGAACAGTCGCACGAGGAGTCTGCTCGCGACACCTCAACTCTTCTCCATATATCATTGTCCAAGCAGCCAACCATGATCACCATTTTCACTAGGGATGGCTGGGCGGCGGAGGATGGCGACGATTGCGACGATGGCGACGATGATCGCGGAAACAGGAAGATTATGTGGCCGCGGCACGAGAGAGTGACGGTTGAGTCGACTAAAAAATCGCACGCGCCGTGGGAAATTGCTTTGGCGGCTGCGCTTTTGCTTCTCGTCCTCACCTCGGCATTGACTATCCAGCCTCAGCAGGTACTTATAACATGATTTGAGTCACGTTATAACATGATTTTTTCGCGCTTTTGCTGCTCGCTCTCACCTCGCAGCGATGCACTTGAGTGTGACTAGAGAATTACCGGTACAATTGCACGACGCACTCGTTCTGACCTCCACATTGGCTGTCCAACGACAGCAGGTGCAGTGGCGCGGAGATGCTTTCTTCCCCTTCCCTCCCTCCCTCCCTCCCTCCCTCCCTCCCTCCCTCCCTCCCTCCCTCCCTCCCTCCCTCCCACCCTCCCTCCCCCCCCTCCCTCCCTCCCTCCCTCCCTCCCTCCCTCTCCCTCCCCCCCACTTTCCCCTCCTTTCCCCCCTCCTCCCCCCTCCACTCCTCCTTCCTCTCCCCCTCCTCCCATCTTCGCCTCCTTCCCATTCCCCACCCTATGGCGATGTTTCAACGTCTAGCGGACCTGGGAGGGATTGAGCAACACAGAACAACAAGCAGCGGCCCCTTCAGCACCAAGACGACCTTCCCTAGACTTACCCCACCCCATGTCCTCCCTTCCTCCCTTCCCGCCCCCACTCCCCCCCCCCTTGTGTTTTCACTCCCAGCCGTCTCTGCTGCTGACGGTGCTTCCAGCGACCACCCTCTCCTCCCTGAGTGCTACCCCTGACAGCTCTACTACCCCTGACAGCCCTACTTCCCCTGACAGCCCTACTACCCCTGACAGCCCTACTACCCGTGACATCCCTACTACCCCTGATAGCCCTACCCCTGACAGCCCTACTACCCTTGACAGACCTACCCCTGACAGCCCTACCCCTGACAGCCCTGCCTCAGGCCCTGACCCTTGGTCAGCGACTCTCTCCTCCATGGCTCCTCCCCCTGACCCTGACAGCCCTGCCGCGGCTGCAGGCACTGATACCGCTGGCCGCACTGATACTCCTTATAGCGCCACCCGTTATAGTGACTCTGACGGCCGTCGCAGCGAGAATAGCGACAGTGGGAAGGGGTTTACTACAGGCAATGGCGGCGCCGGTAAGCAGGGGTTTGAGCTGCCGAACCCGCCGTCCAGGTTCGATGCATCTGCGGCGTGGCGGCAGATGCAGCACCGCACGGCTGACTCATGCTGGAGCCAGCAGGAACGGCACCTGTACCACACGGTATGGCGTGGCACGAGAGAGGCATCTGTAGCACACACGGTATGGCGTGGCACGAGAGAGGCATCTGTAGCACACACGGTATGGCGTGGCACGAGAGAGGCATCTGTAGCACACACGGTATGGCGTGAGAGAGGCGTCTGTAGCACACATGGTGTGGTGCACCTATAGGAAATGGTATGGTGTGAGAGAGGCGTCTGTAGCACACGGCATGGGATGAGAGAGGCACATGTAACACACATTGTATGGTGCACCTGTAGGAAACGGTATGGCGTGAGAGAGGCGTCTGTAGCACACATGGTATGGTGCACCTATAGGAGACGGTATGGTGTGAGAGAGGCATTTTTAGAATACGGTAGGGTGCAAGAGAGGCATCTATAGCACACATGATATGGTGCACGCACCTATAGCACACGGTATGATGCGAGAGATGCATGCGCTGTACACGGAATGGCATGAGAGAGGCATCTGTAGCAAACTCTGTGGCGTGAGCGAGACATCTGTAGCACACAGAAACATGTGTACCACACAGAAACATGTGTAGCACACGGAAACATGTGTAACACACGGTACGGTATAATGCGAGGGAGGCGTCTGTAGCACACGGTAATAGTCTATGGATGTGTGAGCAAGCGGCACCTGTAGCACTTGATCTGTGAAGGAATGTACCGGTAGCACAGAGTATGTTGGGGGGTGGGGAGGGGAGAGGGGGAGGATTACATTTGTAGCACATGGGATGGAAGGGGAAGGCATCTGTATTACATGATATGGGGTGGGGGAGAGGAGGCATCAAGCACATGTTATAAGGGGGGGGGGGGGGGGGCATATGTAGCACATGTTATGTTAGGGAAACGTGCGGTTGGTGTGATATCTTGAGCACAGAGTACGGACTTGGGAAGCTACAGAACTCATCTTTACTTGATCACAATCTCATCTCATCCTATCGATCCACTCCCATCCAGGCCAACCCGTCCCCTTCGTCAGCAGCGTTTAGAGCCGCAGTGGAGGAGTTTGAAGCGATGCAGAGGGAGTGCGTGGGGTTCAAAAAAGGGGACAGCTGGCAATGGGTCAAAGACAAGTCCATGTGGTATGATGGGGGACATGGCGAAATAAGGGCACGGGTTGTGATAAGGGCACATGGTATGGTAAGGGCATGGGTTGTGATAAGGGCACGTGGTATGGTAAGGGCATGGATAAGGGCACGTGGTATGGTAAGGGCATGGGTTGTGATAAGGGCACGTGGTATGGTAAGGGCATGGGTTGTGATAAGGGCACGTGGTATGGTAAGGGCATGGGTTGTGATAAGGGCACGTGGTATGGTAAGGGCATGGGTTGTGATAAGGGCACGTGATATGGTAAGGGCATGGGTTGTGATAGGCACGTGGTATGGTAAGGGCATGTGTTGTGTTGTGATAAGGTCACGTGGTGTGATGATGTGGTACAATAAGGGCATGTGGTATAGTAAGGGCACGTGATCAAGGCACGTGGAATGATAACGGCACGTGGTGTGGTAAGAACACGTCATGGTCAATATCAACACCATTACAAGTGTACTGTTCATTCACTTCATTCATAACGTTGCCTACATGAAGTCAAAATCTCCATGCATTATGATACAACCACCTTCTCTTTATGTTCGATATTTCGGATGACCTGTTTTTCTTTTCTTTCGCCCGAATCCCACAATCCATGCCACTTGTTTCACCAGGAATGAGACGATTCCTCGATATGGCCGCGAAAGGAAGCAATGCCGCTACATTGCGATTCAAGAAATAAACAGGGGTATGTTCTTAGTGAATACGTGCATGGCCTGCAGTCTATTTGTATATGAACCCCAACTTCGCTGCCAGATAACACCTCCTCACTCCCCAACCTCGCTGCCAGATAACACCTCCCTGCTTCTCAACCTTGCTGCTAAATAACACCTCCCTGAAACTCAACCTCACTGCCATATAACACCTCCCCGCTTCCCAACCTCGCTGACAGATAACACCTCCCTGCTCCTAAACGTCGCTGCCAGATATCACCTCCCTGCTCCCGAATCTCGCTGACAGATAACACCTCCCTGCTCCTCAACCTCGCTGCGAGATAACACCTCCCTGCTTCTCAGCCTCGCTGCCAGATAACACCTTCCTTCTCCTAAACCTCGCTGCCAGATAACACCTCCCTGCTCCTAAACCTCGCTGCCAGATATTACCTCCGTGCTCCCCAATCTCGCTGCCAGATAATACCTCCCTAAACCTCGCTGCCAAATATCACCTCCCAGCTCTTCAATCTCAACCTTGCATGGCCTCATCTTAGATGGGGTATGGGATATGGGTTATGGGACAGAAGATGGGTTGGTTTTTTTATATCCTGTTTGTGCATCAAGGCAACAACGCATGGGATCTGATGCCTGCAGCAGGCGTTGATAACAAGGTGACAAGGTAACAAGGTGACATGATTCTCCATCCATCAATCACCTTCATGCTGGAAATGAATGAGGGTCCAAGCCAATCATGGGACCTGTTCACAGACCAGCCAATCATTGCGCCCCAACCAATAGATGATGACCATTTTGCAGAAGAGGGCTTGGGGAGCGAATAAGGGCTGTGACCTGACCTGTTACCAACCAAGCCAATCGTTCCCACCCCAAGCCCTCTTGTGCAAATTTGCCATTCTGAGTTGACTCACACGTCCACTTTTTCTGCAGTCACTATTAAGGTAACCTCTTCTGTGGTCTCGGCTGAACTGATTCTACGTGATCTGATCCGATGTGATCTGATCTGATCTGATCTGATTTGATGCGTGCAGGTGTGGGCAACAGGATAACATCGTACGTCATCTCATTCGTGTTGGGTCTCCTCACCCACCGGGCCATCATCGTGCCACCAAACGCCTTCCTCACCCGCCGCTTCTACAACCCCTTCGCCCACGCCAACGCCTCCTGGACCGTCGGGCCCGTCACAGAGGGGTGGGTGGGTCACAGAGTGGTGCGGTGATGTGGCTCCCCAAGATGCTCATGATGGGCTGTTCTTTTATTCTTCGTCTTCTTTTCTTTCAATTTGCTGGTGTCAACAGTGCTGTTGTTTTTCCTTCTCCCCCCCCGCCCCACTCCCCCACAACGCTCGTTCAGCCTGTTGTTGTCAACCGTGCTGCAGCAGCCGAAGCTGCGCATGAGTGTATTGACCAGACAGCTGTACTGGCGGGGCAATGGGGCATCGGGGAATATGAGGAGGCGTGTGCAAGAGAATGGCACCGTTTGGCTGGACTTGAGCCACAGGTCGGCGGCTGATTGTCTGGACCTGCGTTGCAACATACCGTGTCACATGCATTGTTTTGAGACATCTTATTTAGAAGATTATTATGTCACATACACATCACATGCACACGTCACAATAATCCTCATTTAGAAGATTATTATGTTTTGCAACATACTGCCGTCTCTGCTTTCTTTTCTGTCGTTCTCATCCTCCCCTTCACTGCCCGCTCTACACCATGCCATGCCATAACTGGTTGAGATCCCTCCCCTTCATTGCCCTCTCTACACCATGCCATGCCATAACTGGTTGAGATCCCTCCCCATCACTGCCCGCTCTACTCCATGCCATACCATAACTGGTTGAGATCCCTGCCCTTCACTGCCCGCTCTACACCATGCCATGCCATAACTGGTTGAGATCCCTCCCCTTCACTACCCGCTCTACACCATGCCATGCCATAACTGGTTGAGATCCCTCCCCTTCACTGCCCTCTCTACACCATGCCATACCATAACTGGTTGAGATCCCTCCCCTTCACTGCCCGCTCTACACCATGCCATACCATAACTGGTTGAGATCCCTCCCCTTCACTGCCCGCTCTACACCATGCCATACCATAACTGGTTGAGATCCGACCCCCTCTTCCCATTCCACATCCCATTCGCCTCCTCTCCCTCTCCCATCCCCCTGCCATGCCCCTGCTCGTCCCCCCTCCCTCCCACACTCCATCTCCATTGCATGCACACCATAAACGCTTGAGCAAACGCTTTGCCCCATGGATGATGCCTGCAGGGTGCGAGGGGAGTTATGCGGTCTGTTGTGGGGCATCATGGGTGCGGCACGCTTCTGGTTAACAAATATCGATGCCTACTTTTTGCCCTCCCTCTACTACGTCCCTTCCTTCGCTGTGAGCCTCCTTTTGAGTCGACTCCATAGTCACCTTGTTTTTAGGCGAATCAAAAGTCCCCTCATTCTGATTCGACTCAAGATTCCCCTCGTTCTGAGTCGAATGAATAGGCACGCTTCTGGTTCACCAACATCGATGCAGACAGGATGCATGAATTATATCTTCCTGCCCTCCCTCTACTACGTCCTCTCCTTCGCTGTGAGCCTCCACGTTTGAGAAATTTCAAAAGTGGCTCCAATATACCCCTAAGCCTCTTCCTGACTGTCGACTCAAAAGTCGTTTCCTCCCTCCAAACCCATTCTCCACTGCACTCTAGGTAGGTCGTTCATTCATAGAGAAATGAATTGATCGTTCCGTATGTTGATGTAACTTTTGAGAATTCTCAAAAGTCCCATTCTCCACTGCGCTCTGGGCCGTTGATCCATAGAGCAATGACTTTATCGTTCCCTATGCCGGGTCAGTATCGAATCATTGCTTTATTGCTCACTGTCCCTCCCTCCCACTTACCCACGTATCCACTCTTGTTGCACCCAAACAACCAGGCGTGTATGTTTGTGCGTGTGTGTGCGCTCTCCTCTACTCTTGTTCTCCCTCACCCCATCCATCCACTCCGCAGGCACGGCTGAACGAGCTTTTCCCAGACGGGCGTGTGTTCACACATGTAGTACGCTACCTGCTGCACCCAGACAACCAGTTGTGGGACGAAATCACGGCCGTCTTTCATGCTAACCTCGCCCACTTTACACACCGCCTCGGCATTCAGGTGAGGGTGTTCCGTCCTTGCGTTGTGTTTGAGGCTCCTCAAAAGTCGTCAATACGAGTTGCCACAAAATTCGTTGCAATAGGAGTTGCTGCAAACGTCGTGGCAATAGGAGTTGCTGCAAACGTCGTTGCAACAGGAGTTGCTGCAAACGTCGTTGCAATAGGAGTTGCTGCAAACGTCGTTGCAATAGGAGTTGCTGCAAACGTCGTTGCAATAGGAGTTGCTGCAAAAGTCGTTGCAATAGGAGTTGCCCCAGAACTTGTGTCATGCTTTGCAACACGAGTTTTGCAGCGCCTCAGAACTTGTCTCACACCGCTTGAGGCGCCTCAGAGCTCGTCTCAATAGGAGTTTCCCGAAAACTCCTCAGAACTTGTCTCATTTTGCCACGCCTCAGAACTCGTCTCACACCGCTTGAGCATTCAGTGAGAATGGTCCGTGAGTTGCGTTCGAGGCACCTCAGAGCTCGTCTCGTTTTGATGCGCCGCAAAACTCTTGTTACAGAATATATTGGTGAGTACAATGCATTCAGTTATTTGCTTGTATGTGTGTAGTTAAATTGTTAAAAGTACTGTAGAACCTGGGGTGGGGTTGGGTTCGTGGGTAGTGATTTCGGGGTTGTTGGCTTAGGGACCAGCGAGGCACGAAGAAGGGCAACTTCAAGGGACACCGGGGACCAATTCTAAAGCTTAAGACCGGGGTACACATTCAGAAATTGCGGGGGATGGGGCAACAAAAAAATTGTGGGTTGGGGCGAAATCTGGCTCCCCAGGTTGAAAGCACACCCCGTAATGTGGGCATCAAAGCTTAACGCCAGGTGAATGCCCACCCAGGTGAATGCGCACCGTGGTTTTAACGTGGAGCCCAATGTTGCTCTCAGGAAACTGGGCGACACGGGGAGGGAATTTCAATAGTTTAGGAACACACTGCACAAATCGTTCTCTCGTTTGTTTGCCTCGTATAGTGGATTTCTGTTTACCGCCGGGGATTCAGGTGAGGATGGCCCTGTTGGAGAGGTTCGTCGAGGCACCCTAGTTGGCAAAAATCGGACCGAAGGCGGACTGTGTGACATCTCCAGCGAGCAGCAGCAGCCGAAATTGGACTGACGGCTGAATGTATCATGAGTTGGCGTGTGGAAAGTGTTGTTGTGTGGAAAGTGTTGGCGTGTGGAAAGTGTTGGCGTGTGGAAAGTGTTGGCATGTGGAAAGTGTTGGCGTGTGGAAAGTGTTGGCGTGTAGAAAGTGTTGGCGTGTGGAAAGTGTTGGCGTGTGGAAAGTGGTCAACGAAAATAAACTAGAGTGCGACTATGAGTAGGAGCTACGGCATGGGAAAAGACAGGGAACTTGGGTAGAATTAGGGACGAAGGAGTCGAGACGAGGGAAGAGAGGATTGGAAGAGTCGATAAAAGGATTGATAAAGGGGAAATTTGGGCCGGGGTGTGTTCAAGAAAGCACCGAATTTGGACTTCAGGAGTGTTTGACGAAGTTGGGAAGATTGCGTGTGCGACTCAGGGTGAAACGAGGCGCGCGGAAATAACGAGACGAACACGAATTGTTGCAAATCGCATTTATACTCTGGATTGAATATGAAACTGCTTGTAATAATTTGGAAGTACAACCTTTTGAAATCCTGGAAAGCACCTTTTTTCCGTAAAACTCTCGTGAGAGTCCCGTAATGTCAAACTATATATTTGTTAGGTTGTATGCTACAGTGAGGTTCACTCTCGTAAGACTCTGGTGTGAGTCTCGTGAGTTATGAGTCCCGTAAAACTCCCGTGAGAGTCTCGTCAGTTATGAGTCCAGCAGCCTGCAGACTTCCTCACCAAGAGGCTTGCGGATGAGCCTCATTGGCGTTGTGTGCGCATGAGTGGAATCAGCATGAACTAGCATGGAAAGATGGGGATGCAGCCGGCAGGCTGAGGGGGAGTGTGTTGGGTGCAAATTCACATTGCACGACATCCTGCCGTCTGTTTGTACGAGTATGCGTGTGCGAATGCATTTGGGTGTGAATGGAATGTTCGTGTGTTTGTTTGCTTTCGCAATTTTCGCTTGATGCATTTGCAGGTACTCGCGCAATGTGCGCTTCGGCACAACATTGTACGCGCTATGAACAGTGCAAGCAGAAAGGACGAGCTCGCAAAGGAACCCAAGATGGACGCTTTGCAGTTCGGTTGAATTGATTGCGCAGATTCAGTTCTATCCAACTCGAAATTGTACTGTTTTGTTTGGTTGACTACAGTGTAGCAGGGCAGGCACTATAGGGGTACAATTTAGGTGAAGTTTGGATGTTGTTTGTCTGTATCTGCATGCTACAGGGCCAGGGGAAACCAGCGGAACCAGCATTTGGCTGGTTGGGCAAAGACAAAACAGGTTCTGTTTTTAGGACCTGAACCTGGTTGTTTTTTTTCCCAGGTTGGAAAAACAGAACCAGAGATTGTTTACCAACCTACCACCTGCTGTTTTGTCCAGCCAGGTTGGTTCTGTTGCTTGGAATTATTTGGGACCATCCCTGGTTGTTCCCAGGTTGATTCCCAAGGTCCTTGCTAGCTAGAACTATTTATTCCTTCTCTGTTCGTACCTGGATATAGTGAAATTGATTCAAGCGAATTCCTTCCTTGCTGGAATTTCGTTTCTACGCGGTGCGACGGCGGAATGCTACCGAGTCAACGCTAGTACATTAGCACTACGACGCTAGGCAAACGCTGTCCGAGCCATAACTTCGTAATGGCAGACTTTTTCGCGAGGCAACTTGGCTCTTTTGAAAGCTCTTAGAGTGAGCTTCGATATAGCGAGTTCTCAGCTTAATCCGATCGACGGTCTGCACGGCACGCTGCGCGACGTTCAAGGTATTCTTGCTGTTTTGACTAAGTCCCTCTTGATCCCTCTCTCTACATACTCGGACCCGAGGATAGGGGCTGGTCTTGTACCAAGCACCCAGGGACCCTTGGAGGTGACCCCGAGGAGAGGTTTTAAGTTGGATAACGTCTTAATAGCCTGAGTTTATTAGGCCCTTACACCAACATGCCGGCCTACGAACACGAATTAGGTAAGTGACAACTGCGTCGACCTGACTGAAAGGTAAGTCGTGTGCCGTCCACGCTCACCGCACCATGCGGAGATAACTAATTCAACGGGAGCTAGGCTTCGGGCTAGGCACGGGGCTTGAGAGATCTCTGCGTTCCTTAGTAGTTTCCTTGTGTGTTCTCTGCTTGCACATTCACGGGGGGATTTTGCAAGAGTTCCACTAGGAAAGATCACAACAATGGTTGATACAACTTTGGCAACACAGACTACATCAGAGCTAGCTAGGCTGCTGGTCGACCTCCAGCGCAGCATGGTCGACCGCGATTCAGCGCAGCAGTACTC